TGTGTAGGCTGAGTGTTCAAGAGGGGGAATCCCTCAAAAAGGAAACTGTGGAACAACTCTTGGGAAGTGGCAAATGGATGATAGGAAAACCTGGAAGGACAAAAAGAGGAAGGAAAAGAGGGAGTAGGTAAGTCAGGAAGAGAGGGAAGGAGGAAAGAGGGAATGAAGGGGGAGAAGAAAGAAGGGAGGGAGGAAAGAAAGGAGGAGGAGAGAAAGGAGAAGGGGAGGGAGGAGGAACTCTGTGGCAAAGATGAGATCAAGGCTCCTCTCTGAGGGTAGCACATAATCCTGTCTCTCAATGTTCCTGGTAGGCAAAGCCTGGTGTGTGCCTAGAATAGAAACAATCCTAATCCCGGTTCTAATAGGAGTTAAATGAGCAACACTTGGAGCTCTCGGGCTCCAGTTTCTCCCCTAAAAAGCCTGGGGGGAATTTAACACATGGTTTACTCCCACAAATAAATTAGACAACACCAACAGAACAAAATGTAACACTTTAAACTTTGGGAAATGCAAATTTTTTATCATCGCCCAGCAGATCATCTGTGTAATCCCCAGCAGGATGGTGATTCGCATTTACTGTTAGTTTTGCACCAAAATATATATTTTCCCAACTCTGTCTGTGTCTGATACATTGATAAAAGATGGAAATAGCAGTTTCATTGTCTTGTCTGCACACTGGGAGTGGAAATGAAAATATTTGTCTTCAGAACCAGAAGACCAGGAGAGAATGCTGCCCCTTTAACTCTTTAGTCTCCCTATACATGACCCTTCCCTCCTGAGCCTCAAACACCTCCCACAGTATTCAGTTCCCTCGAGACAAGGATTTGGGTACAAGGAATTTACTTGGAATCCATGAGAGTGGAGACTCAGACAGGGAGAGGGGAACTATGAGAGTGTGTTACTAAAGGTAATGGAGACTTTCCTGTAACCTTGGCTCATCCACAGTGTTACATATCATATAGGTGCTGGGGAAAATTTGAACACTGGTAGCCTTGGGTTGAACCACCAGCTGACACCCTGAGCAAGCTGGGCAACCCTGTGAGCTTGACTTTCTTTAGCCAGGAAACAAAGATGATCAGGGAAAGAAAAGACAAAAGATGTCTCTCAGCACTTAGAAGAGGGGTCCACAGGGGATTTTTTATGTTTTAGCCTGAGCCATTTAGAAAAATTACAGTACCAGCCATTTGACCTTAAGGAGATAATGTAAAAAGCATTAGAGAAATGTGGCTAAAAGGAATCTTTTGCCACTAGTAACAGACGCCACTATGGTAGCCAATATCCCACCTCACAAACTGCAAATATAAAAGCCAGAAAGGCCCAACTTGGATCTGCATATACTCATCCTACCATGGCCCAGACCCTTTGTTTCACTGTCCGGCTACCAGTGGAATATATGTACTGCTGTTGTTTTCTAACCACACAATAGTTGGCAGGAGCCTGTGAAATGGCTCAGTAGGTAAAGGAGCTTGCTGCAGACCCCTATTCCAGAACCCACATGATGGAAAGAGACAGCTGACCAGCAAGTTGTCCTTTGACTCCCACATGTGGACTGTCATGACAGCATGTTCATGTGCACATGCACACACATGCACGCACACACACACATGCATGTGCACACCAAATGTAAAAATAAGGCCATCAGTTCAGTATATAGTGAAGCTTCAAATAGTCTCATTATTTGCAACTCACTTAAAGGCTTTGACTGCAACTTCACCCCAGGTGGAGTCAAACCTGAGATTTAGCAGTCTTACCACAGCTTTCCTCTCAGAACTTTACTTATGACTAAAATTTATAGCAGTAACCGGATGAATGTCTGCAATACTTAAGAGGAATGTAGCCCTGTTTTAGTTTTTCTAGCCCTCAAATATTAGTATTGAAACATTTGAGAATTCTTTTATTCTCTGCTATTTTGTTGTTCTTGTCAGCTCAGTCACCCTGTTTCTGAACTATATACCCAGCCCTAAAGAACTAATACAATCAATTTAGAGAGACTGGAAAACAGTGAAAATGTCCCTCCTTTGGAAGAAAGTATTTAGGAAGTTAGGGTGACCTAGTATAAGACCTCCTTGACAAAAGGACCAAAATTAGCAATAAGAAAAGGAGCCCGGCTGGCTTGAATGTCAGCTGAGACTCCACGTTAACAAATGATGCCTCCTGAAAGCAAGAATTCCTTTTTATTACTTTACTTTCTAGATTGAGAGTCTCAGAAGTACCTTGCAGACTGGCATTCGGTCCTAGAAATTCTGTTAGCCATTGAGGCTTTAGGCTTAGGTGAAAGGGTGAAATGTTTTTACAGAAATATGACCTGGAGTTCTACAGGCACATCTTTCAGACTTCAATTCTTACTGCTGATGGTTCCAAATGAAATCCTGGCCAGAGTGGTAAGAGCTGATATAAATTGACATCTGATGTAGCAGCTGGGGTGGGGGGCATTTGTAAACTTCCAATGAAAAAGCATGCTCTCCTCTGGCCCACCTGGGACAAACTGCCAGTCAAGTTTATCATTGCCCCATTCCATCCGTTTGTCATTTAATTAGTTTAGACCAATATGTAAATAAAGAGCAGCTGAGAGAGCTGAAAGTCAAATAGATTTTTTTTTTAATGTCATGACTTAATGTGGTTTGGACTTCACACCATAGTTCATTTTTGTGGGGAGCAAAATTTGCATAAAAGTAACCTGTAAGATTGACAGGGGAAGCTCCATGAGTGCATGGGGCTTTCTCTAACTCCTGTCCTGTTGGGCCTCACTGATCTATGGAATTGTGCCTGTTCCTGTAGAGCCAAAGGCTTATCTTGCAGTCTGCAGGTCCCTAAAGGGGACCAGATAGAATTCAAGAGGTCTCTGTACTTGGCTTGAAGATAACTATATTCTTCCTTTTAGCAAGTGAAACTTAGCACTGTCTTCATAAATCAATGACAATTCCAAAACACAGTGGGACTTTCATCATCATTGGATTGGTCTTTTCTTATTCCATTACAATTGTTGCACATATCTCAAAATAGCAGCTATGTTTATCACTACACTAAAATTATTACAGTGACTGAAATTCATTACTGGTTTCTCTTATTTAACATTTCAATAAAGTAGTACATAAGAAAACACCACACTAATTACTTAGATTATTGCTGTCAACATACTGGTTGTGGTCTTGTATTTAAATGTGTGCACATAAAACCATTCTAAGAAGGGGTACATGGGCTTTTTCAGATGGTCACAGTATCATAAGAAGGCTAAAGATTACAGTTATAGGTCAGGGGTTGGCAAGCCTTTTCTTGAGGGACCACATCACATTTTTGCTCCACCAGCAATATGACATCTGTCTCAACTACTCTCCTATACCACTGTCACAGGAAAGCAGCTGTGGGCTTTAAGACTTCAGCAGTGTGTTCCTACAAAAATTGAAAGCTGAATTTTCTTGACGGTTGGCTTAGCGTGTCCTGTTATTCCTAACATATTTTAATTTCCTCAAGCACCCTTATTAAAAGCCAAATGTGAACATCTATTCATACAAACCCATGTTATTAATGTGCATGTACAGATCATGGACAAGAGGTTTAAAGCTGTGGGCTAAGCTTTCAGATGATGTCATGAGGGATATAGATGAGCATGGTCCAGAGTGGTGAATGACACAGCAGAAGTAGGAACACAGGCTTTAGGGAATGTGTGGTTGGCATC